CTTTCCTGCTTATGCAGGGGGTCGGACTCGATAATCTATAGAGGTTCCTTCCGACCTTAACATCTATGAATCTATAACCCTTGTCTATACAATCATGGGAGCTAACTGTGGAGGTTGAGAGGAGATGATGAAATGAAATCCTACCATATCACATTAAGGAACCTGAGGCTTTAACACTCCCAACTATTGCTAGGCCCAGGATAAAATTGTGGGTTTTAGCAATATTGCCTACTTGAAAGGGAGCTTCTTTCTAGAAACGGAAGTGGGATAAACCAGTTTTCTGTCTGGTATCTCCCATTTGCCTGTGTCCTGAAAATCTTTGAGATTTCAGCTCTGGGCCAACAACTGTAGGTGATAACATGATCTTCTGAGGATGCCTTTTGGTAGGGGTGGTGGTAGTGGTTGTGAAGAATGGTTATGAGATAAATGGTTGATAAAAAGGGGAAAAGAGACACATATGCGGGGGGCGGAGGGTTTCAAATATTTTCCCCATTTTATTTGGAATTCCCAACAAAAAAATGAAATGTCAGTGAAATTCTAAACTTAAAAAAAGAACTGATCAGGAATACAGTTGACTGAAAAATAAGGAAGGTATAGTGAAAGTATTGGTGGCATTTTCCCCCTCCCTGCCAAAGAAGTTTAACATTTTTTCAACCACTGAATTTCAAGACATTCCAACACACAAACCTGTTAAGAAAGGATTATGCCAAATCAGTCAATATGAAAAATGAAGGAATTGATACAGTTCATTTATCTTTCCATAGGTGGGAGACTGACCAGAACCAAGATTTCTTGTGCTTCCAGGAAGAGTTGGTTCAGGCAACTGGCTAAATCTGGACTCTTATTTTTAATGAAATTGATTGCTATTTCATCAGTTTGGGGCTCCTTTGATATTTATAACACAGATGCTTTTTCTGAAGTACAGCCTACTGAAAAAAAAATATCCAGCCAAGCTTGTTAGAGCAGTGAAAAGATAACAGGATCATAACAGCACTTGGCAGGATTCTGTGGTTGCAGCACTGGCTGTGGAGGTTCATTGTTTTGGAATGATGAAGTCAAACAGCCTCTATATCCACCTACTGAAAAGTTCTGACTGACAGATACAACTATTAGAGTCTGTGGGATAAAATATGCTGTTCAGCTTGAGCCTGTTGTAAACTGGAACCTGCATAGTCTGTTCTAGTGGTTAGGATCAGGCCATAAACCTGAAGAACAGAACTGGTAGGCAGCAACAGAAACCAAGCTGAGTGTCAAAATCAGGAAGAAGGTACTAAAGTAGACTAGGAACCAAAGAAACTACAAAACAAGACTTGAAAGCAGTTAGTGAACCAAGACAATCTTCAACTCTGAGCATCAAGCTGCTAAATTTGGCCGAAAGGACTGGGATTACATTGTGCCTACAACCAAGACCCAGTCAGCTGTACCCAATCAAGGATTGAATAGTCTCTAACAGGTCTGAAGCTGAATGTAAATGTTTACTTCTACAAGAAACAAGTTCTCCAGACTGGGAAACTACAGACTGTTCAGCTTCACTTCAGTCCCTGGAAAAATCATGGAGCAGATCCTCAAGTAATTCATTTCTAAGCACTTTAGATGAGAAGAAGGTGATTAGGAACAGTCAGCTTTAGGAAGAGTCATCAAGGGCAAATCATGCCTGACCAACCCAATTGCCTTCTATGATGAGGTGACTTGCTCTGTGGGTATGGGAAGAGCAGTGGTCATGATATATCTTGACATTAGCAAGGCTTTTGATACAGTCTTCCACATCTGTCTCCCAGGCAAGCTAAGGAAGTACAGGTTGGATGAATGGATTTAAAGGTGAATAGAGAAACTGGCTGGATTGTCAGGCTGAAAGGGTTGTAATCAATGGCTCAATGTCTATTTGGCAGCCAGCATCATGAACGATGTGTGCCCCTGGGGGCTGGGGGGTCACAGTGACTGCCCACAGGTGGCAGTGGCAGTGGCGGTAGTAGGGATGTGGTGGTGGCAAGCGGGGACCACCCGCAGATGCCACTGAAATGTCGGTGGCAGGGGAGGAGGGGGTGGCAAGCGGTGACCACCTGCAGGTGCCACTGGCAGCATCGGCAGTGCTTTTCACAGGGGGTGCACCACCAAGCTCAAGGGGTGCACATGCACCCGTGTGCACCCCCTACACATCACCAATGGCCAGTGTCAAGTGGAGTGCCCCAGGTCTTAGTTCCAGGCTTGGTTTTGTTCAGTATATTCATCAACAACCTGATGGATTGCACCCTCAGCAAGTTTGCAGGAGGTGCTGGTGGTGAACTTCTGAGCCTTTGGCTTCCTCCACTGCACTGGGGCTCTTGATGAGACATACATCCCTGTCACCTGCCTGCCCTGGGCATACTGCACTTAGTACAGACAACAGGGCTTCCACTCCATCATGCTTCAGAACATGATGGACCACTGTTCTCATGTGCAGAGCTGGCTTAGCTGCACTCAGGGGCCACATGAAGGTGGGGCAAGTGGCAGGCAGTGGGCCAGGCCACAGGGGGACCAGACTTAGGAGCTTGGGGCAGGGGACCCTGGCTGGTGCAGGTAGCACTGCACCACCTCCCAAAGTGGGCTTGGTGATGGGTGGCGGGTGGCTGCCAGGGGCCAGGCAGGGCCAGGAGGTGGGCATTGGGCAGCACAAAGGTGATCACCAGGGTCAGGAATGTATCAAGGACCCAGTGGTCCTCCTCTATCACCACCACCACCTGGGCCACCCTGGTGCCCTGCCAGTCCTGTGCCTTAACCAGCCTCCTCAGGAGGATGGTGTGCCTCTCCTCAAGAGCAAGGTATGGCCAGTCCCTCTCCTGCTCCGTCTCCAAGACCTAGACTATAGGTCCTTCTCCAAGACCTAGACACTAGGCCCAAGAGTCCATGAGCCAGTCCTCCACCTTAGGGACCAGTCAGTTCAGCAGTATGATGCACTTTTAGGAACAATGCTGGCAGAGGCAGCACATGCAAAGGGTGCTGGCCAATCATAGTGGCATCCTTGTAGCCTCATCTCTGCCAGCAGCTGGTGGTTCTCTCTTGCATGCAGCTGCTGGACCTGCACAGAAAGGACAGAAAGGCTCTTTGTGAGAGTTTGCAATATTTCAGAGATAACATGCACTGTACTGAGGAGCTGTGTACCACCCAGCCTCAGTTTGGGGGCCATGAGAAGACAGGTGCCCAGGGACCATGCATGGCCAAGTTGGCCAAATGGGCCCTTCCACAGGCAGCTGCTGGCCAAGCTCTCCATCCCCACTCCCACAGCAGGGGCAGGAAGGCTGCTTGGTGCTTGCCACAGTCACCACAGTCAGCCTGCCTTCCCCATCCCCTCCCAAGGCGGGGGACAGGGTTGGCCCCTGCCAACAGCTGCTATGAAGTCTATGGAACAACTTCCTCCCTTCTTCTTGTACAGGCCAGGCTGTTTGCTCTTGTGCCACCAGGCCTGTGGTGCCTGGGGTCTGGGGGTGAGGGCTCTTGCCTGACTGAGACATGGAACTAGTGACATCCCCTC